GTATTAAATACATAATCGTATCGTTTAAAGTTTCCTCGTTTCTCATTTTTCATTTCTCAATGGTACATTCGTATAACAGAAAATTGTCAGTGAAGAAGTACGCACCTTTTCTCTTGCTTTGATTTTGTTGACAAATTGTAAATTATTTAAATTGGAGTTTAACGATTTTTAACGTACATGAATCTGATATAATTAAGCGGATTACAATTAATAGTAAATAATAAATCGATACGATAAAGATATATTGGCTTAACTAGGTAGTGGTCAGGGGGGTTTGCCCCCCCCCCCCCCCCCCCCCCCTTCGTCCCCTCACACTGTGTACTAGTTTCCTTACTATATATAATCATAAGATTTAAAAATTTTAGAACTTCCATAATGAAAAGAACTCCAGAATTCAAAAATTTGGAAATTCTACAACTTCAAATGAGTATTTCGATTAAAAGAAGTATACCATCTCAAGCTTCTGTCCTCACTGCTGAATGTATTGTCTTCAACAATGCTCTCCTTAATGCCGATTATTATAATTTTAAAACTCTCGCTCAGTGCCCTTTTCTACCTCCAAAGTTTAAAGATGGATATAACAACAAACCCTTACATTCTTGAAATGAAAAAAAAATACTTTGAATTTAAACGAAAACCCTCTAACGACAGCTCTATAGATTTTTTTGGATTCCCTCACACAGAGGTATTGAGGGCAATGACGAAGCTAACGATTTAGCTAAATTAGCTACCACAGAGCAAAGTGAAAACTGAATCTACATCCCTTTTATTGACTCTCGAGAATCTTTTAAAAGAAAATGGAACTCGAGTACCAAGGAATTCATTCTGCGACAGGAACAAACAAAGGGAAAAGAATTCTTTCGGTATTATCTTGGGGACAGTGTTAAGCCATGGTTTTCAAACCAAAATCTTACACGCAAAGTTATAGTTATGATTAATCGATGCAGATCAGACCATTCTAACAAAGGATTTCAGAATTTAAAGATTCTAGATTTTCAACATTTCAGAATTCCAAGATTGCAGATTACCAAAACATTGGTAATGGAATTAATATCTTCAAGAACACTGACACATGTGTGTACGTTTCATTTTTTTTTAATTAAAATTATTCTATTTTTTTTCTAGTATATTTATTGCTTTTCCGATTTTGTTTTACTTACTAAATTGCTGTCAATATCAAATAAAAAAAGTAATCAAGTGAAGAATTGAATCATCTTTCTCACTTTAAAAAGTTCTTTTCTGAATAGATTGAAGGGTATAGCAGGATAAAATGGTCAAAAGTGCCCTTGAGCCGATTTCATTCAGCAATACACCATTTTATAGCATATAATAAAAAACCATACATACACCAAATTTAAACCCTGTATCTCAGCCGGGAGGGTAGTTAAAGGGTAAGAAAGAAAAAGTGGTTTTTACAATATTTTCCCTATTTAATGGCATTCAAAAAATCTGAAAAGATTCTAGAATATTCTGGCCATCTTATTCTGCTATACCCTTTCAGAATTAAAAAATTGCAAAACTTCGTATCCAAAATTTCTGAATTTTCTAGAAACCTGACTCACCCCAGAATAAAATCCTACTTACACTAATGTAAAAGTGTTGTTCCCTTCGTTTTTGAAACTCTCTCGATGATTATATTACTTGAAAAATACAATATATTTTCTAAGCGTCGAATTTCAGCAAGTTTCGACGTGTAAACGAACTGTTAATAGAGAAAGTTACGTTTTCAATGCATTTAAGATAAGATGCTTAAAAGCCTACTGCATAGCAATATATTACCTCAAGAACAATTAAGTGACTTTTGATTACTTTAGAAATTGATGTAGTTACCCTAACAACAGAGTCTTCTTCTGAAGAAAATCGAGGTGACACGAACGTGTCGAATAGCTAATAATGTGATCAAAATTAACTTTCTAGTTGCAAGTATATCAATTACCATTTTAAAGCAGTGATTAACTTTCGAGTATTTACACAAGATATACTTCAGGGGGCGCGTTACTTTCACGTGACTCCTTTCCTGTTATTATTGCGCGAACAAATATAGTTTCGATCCGAGGTCCTTTCATAACAATTTTAACTTCGATAATTACTTTATCAAACTAATTGAATTCGTATCGACGTGACCCGATACAATGCCGCTTCAAATTTCAAAGAACACCGCAGAGAAGCGAGTGCTCCGGTGGAAAACGTTAATTTTACCGCAGGCATCGTGTCGATTATTGAAAGTGGAGTTCTTTGTGCCAGTAAAGTGGCACTCGCTTTTATTTTCCTTTTTTCCCCCCGACCGGGTATCAGCAGCGGTCAGCATACCTCGACATTTTCATTTCCGGCGAGATGTCGTTGGCTGGGAACGTAAAAATAATGCATCGATTCTAGACCGGTGTGCTTACCCGCACGTGCACACCCATAAAGCAAATCTTACGAGTTTTTATTGGGTAAAAATTATTCCTACTGCGAGAACGATTCTAGCCACCAAACTGTACCTCGTATCCTTGCTGCGGGGGAGGGGTCGGATAAAAGGGTTAGCGAAACGAAAGGGTCGTCTCGCGTGGGGGGGGGGGGGGGGCTTAAATTCTGCAGGAAGAAGAAGAAAAATGTAAGGAATAAACGGATAAAAGTGTTAGTGGGGCCAAGGAAGAAGGGGTCAGGATCCACTTAACAAACTGCTGAACTCACACCCGATGGGATTTTATTTCTACTTAAATGGAGTTGCTGAGATACGCATTGGATACGAATTCTTGCGGAATTCTTGCTCTCGAATTTATTTGTACTGTTTATTGTAGCTTCTATCGATTTGTACTAACTCCTTTCTTTTCTGTTCGCTTGATCTTTGTAAAGTTTCTTTTGAAGATTATTGTAGCGGAATTGTTCAGTAATATACAGCATGCAAGGGAAAAAAATTTCTGTCGTCCGCTGACTGTATAAATCAAATTTTTTCCACTAAATAAGTTCATACACTTTCAACCCTTTAAACCCGAGTATTTTATATTCGGATTTTATTTTTTACTTTTTATTGCTTAAATTAAGATTATCGTTACTATGCTGTTTATTGTCAACAGTTTCCAATTAAACATAATAGCATACAGTCAAAGTAGATAAAAAAAAGTTTAATATAATGCATATATCTGACAAATATTATCTTACAGAGGGTCAGACATTTACTGGGACGAGATCGCAAAATAAGTCAGTAAACGGAACCTTGATATCTGAGATAGGCATTTCTTTTGTAGCTTCTCTTGCAAGGGAATCCACTATTTCGTTACTAATAATTCTAGAGTGGGCTGGCGTCCAAATGAATTTGATAAAATTTTGATTATTATTGTTAGAAGCGAAGGTAGCATATTTAGTTTTAATTTCGACAAAATGGCTATTAATGCTAAAAGGAAAGATTGATTTTTGTAAAAGTTTAATTATGCTCAGAGAGTCGGTAGCAATAAGGAAAGAACGATGTCCAAAAGTGGCCATAACTTTTTATATAAATGTATGAAATTAGTCTATCTTTATGTTTTTGGACCTGTTAATTACGAATATGACACTTAAAATTGACCAAAGTTTGGGGAACTTTGTGAAAATACATTTTTTTGCATAAAAATCTTGTTTTGGGGGAAGCGTTACCGTACAACATTTTGGACACTTTTTTTTGCTTTTGAAAGAGCGATAAGTCATTTTGATAGGTTTTTTCCGTAGATTACGAATTTGCTTTAAGTTTGACGCGGAGCACCACTGTCGGTACTCCGTCTCCCGCGAAGCTATTATATTTCGCCTACTGGCTTGATAAAAAAATCGATGTTGCAACTTTCTCCGAGTGTTTTCTCGAGATAAAAATCTGTTCTATCGCGTGGTATAATTCGATTTACGACGCCAGTTCGTCCTCGCGGTCAACGCGATCTTGGAATTAGTTTTCTTGCATGTGGTTACCACGTTGGACTATGTAACTTCCCCTGCCAAAAATCAGGATGTTGCCGAAAAGGGAAGAAGCTTCACCCTCGGAGTTTCTAATGAGTACGGCTTTTCCGTGATGACATATAAAGGCAGCGGAAAACGCGGAGCGATCATCTCTTTTACGAATAGTCTCCGGCTGTACTTGTAACCTGCGTCTATATTACTATCTTGATCCCGATAGTGTTTATTAATTTAATAGTGCAGGTTTCTATGCGATTGTCAAAAGATCCAATATCCGGTAAGAATACCTGTCCACTCCTGGTGATTAACTTTAAGATCAACCACAAATTAATTAAATTATTATGAGTGGTATGTTTGACACTAATTTTTTAAATTATTTGTTCATCTGTTTAATAATATACTGTATCCTTTTATTTCATAGTGTTGGTATCTATTGGGTTGATATATGAATCTGTATCATTTTGTTAATGTATTAAAATGAATGATTTTGCAGAAAAAAATAAATGGTCAATCAATTATTTTGGACAACTGTTCAATTTCACGAAAATTCGTGTTTTTTTGTATTTTGGAAAGTACGTATGTCTAGCTCTTAATTGGTGATATGGGGTCTGGCATACACGAATTATTTTATTTAGCCAGTTAATTATTGAATAAAAATATGATTCTTCTAAAACAATAAATAAACTTTATAAGTTAAAAATATTCTATAATAGAAAATTAAACAGACATTTGATTGTCGTTCGTTCCTTAAAATTTACCTTACTAGTTAGGGACATTCAGCGCCGGATTAAGAAGCATTACAACCCCGGGCCCCGTTATAATCCTTCCATTTACTATGCCAAAATATATTGAGTAAAATTTTATTTACTATAGCTCTTTTTCTTTACGATTAAATATTATTTAATTTCATTTAAAATAAATTTCAATTATTAAATCAAGTTTAATAATCCTCAAAGGTTTGATAGCTCCGGGTAGCAGACATCTTAATCCGGTCATGAGGGTAATAAATTTAGAAAAAATTTAGAACGTATATGAAATTATATTCCATGTGCAGTGTATGGACGTAAGTACTATCAAATGTAAGAAACACGTCTCACCTTGTACGGGCCAAGATTTTCCACGATGCAGGTGAAAATGGCTTCACGACCCACTGAGACCGTCAGATTGTTCAACGGTTTACCGAACCTGGGTAAATCTGCAACATGAAAGATCCTCGTCTTAAGTATCCCGTCAGGGTGAATACTTTACATAACCAGGGTACACATACTCACTCGCTCACTTACTTATACTTATAAGCTATCCACGAACGCGCTAAAGTTTGCAAAGTACTCGAGAAACTCGGCAGTGAATGGGGCGAGTTAACGTAAGCGGGTCAAGCGGAGGCTAAGCCAGTCTCTTTATATTTCCCGACGAAATCCTTATTCTCCTGATTTCAGCAAGAGACAGAGTCGCGGTCATGCTATCATTCCACGAAAACGAGAGAAGAGACAAAGTTGCGAAGCGATTTAGCTTCCGTTCATGATTTAATTATGTGATTTCTTGAGCCATAGTTGCTAATGGAATTTACTGTTCACTCTACATTAACGTAACGAGTTGCATTAGCCTTGTTTAATTATTGATTGTTTACCTTGTCCAGAATATTAAAAAACCCGGTGACAGATTTAACGTTTTCTGTTCGATTCTGAAGTAGAACTGTCCATTATTTTGAATAATATTTGCTGGTAATTAAAAAGTAACAAAACTAAAAATAATAATTTCTGAAACCGGTTAAAATAGCCATACTGCATTCGTTGTGCAACATTCACAATGCACCTTTCATTTTTAATTATCACCAATAACCAATTTGAATAATCTATCATCTTGTATCCTGGATTGAATTATTTAGTGCACGATATTGATACCATCATTGTTTAAAGAATTTCCGTTCAAATTTTCTTTACTGAAAGGTCAATAGATTAAATTTGAATAAAAATAACCGTAGCTATTATGGTATGTTGTATTGTAATAGGAGTTACGAATATTCGTTCTTTATTTAAGTTTTTAACTAATCACTTCATATTAATAGTATCTATAATTTTAATTTTTTTTTTTATATTAGTTATTTAAGATTATTAATTGTGATTAACAGATCATGCTTCCATACGGAAAACGGCGATGTAAGAGAAGCAGAAAGTCTTAAAATCTTAATTTTAATGATGTTAATACTAATAATAATTTAGAAAGAGAAATAATATAATTTAATGTATGTAACTGAAAAATATGAATAAGAAAGTAAAAATTAATTCAAACTTTTCCGCGTAAACGTTTACACGCAAGTATTGGGGACAGGCACAGACCTATATGTATACGTAAATATGTGGAGTCCCTTTTCCTACATTGTTATTTTCCTCGAGCATGTCTATACGGAACGGCGGGAAATCGGAATTCATATCGATATCATATTTTTACAAAATAATACACAAAAGGATTGCACTTTACTTTAAGGCGTACAAAATTATTGACTTTTTTATATATTTTGATAGCGTTTGACGAAAAAATTTAAAAATACAAGTTTTAACTTTAAATATCCATCCGTTCAAAGGTTATACGTACGTAAAACTAAACGTTTTTAGCGTACTTTTGAGGTTAATTTGACGCTATATTGACTTCCATATGTAATCTGATTAGTCCGTGAAAACGAGCATCATCAGGCTGTCAAGAAAATTGACCTAATCTAACTTGTGCAACTAAATTGTGCAAAGTACATCTAAATAAAGACATTTGAAATATCCCGTCAGAAATTAGCACCGCCTACATAAGTAGCTTTTTTCCATTCAAATTTTAATTTGTCATGTTTTTAAATTTAATATTGTCAATAATGTTACAAAAATCTTCGTTACCAAATGAGAAGAAAGAATCATTGGTTGAATACTAGGCAGATAAATACTTCTGGGGACAGTAATGACTAAAGCTACTGCTAAGCTGTTAAACAAGCTCCTAATAACATCAAAGAAATATTTAAAAAAGAAGATAATCTTCAAGAAGCGTTTAAACTCATATGTATACAGATTAAAGTTCTCTTATGAAATATGGATCAACTAATATAGTTGTTGATAATAATCAAAGAGTTGACGCGACCTTAACCCTTTCGAACCAACGTTTTTCTAGTTGGATTTTACTTTTTCTGTTATTCTTTAAATAAAGATTAGCCTGTATATTACTATGGTATTTACTGTCATAGGGTACTTGTTCCTATTATGAAACCTGGCTGTATTAATGTTCTTTCATATTCAAATAATAAATAAAATGAATATTGTTCTTTTTTAATTAAACTAAACTATTAATGTATATTCCACAGAGAAAAATACCATAATTTTTAATGGTTAAAGTATATTAAATCCTTATGTAAACATGAAAGCACATTAAGACAGACAAGATCACTAATAGCTACCCTAGTTGTCTATCAAAAAGAGTACTTATAGTCTAATACCCCGAAATAAAAAGAAATGTAAAATAATCCACACATGTAACATATATTTCCCAAAAAGAAGGTCAAAAACATTTACTGGGAAATATGTATCCCATCAGGGTCGAAAAGGTTGAATTTTAAGAAAAAATCTCATTTTTTATATATCCTTAAGAAATAATTATTCCATTTAATAACACCTATTCATATATTTCAAATAAATATTTTGAATATACTGGTATATATAATTGCTAAATAAAATACATCTGCAAATGCTGTTATAATTAAATAACAGTATTTCAGTTAATCTTCCAAATACTTTTTGCTTAATATGTAGGTACCCAGCACTGTCCGTAATGCGTGTTTATTTTTTATTATCTCATCAGGAAGATAACACTTCATTTTAGGTAAAGCATTTCAGAAGCAAAAAAGTGTCTAACTGTGACTTAAGAATCGTAAGCAGTTTTAAAATTCAAATAAAATAGAACATAATTGTATGTTTAAATAGCACTAATATTTATTTACATTTCAAATACTATTTAGTATGTTTGATGCTACAAAATTCAGGTAAAATAATATTTTAAACAAGAAGCAAAATTTTGGCAGATAAAATAACTACATTTTATACTACAGATGATTAAAATAAAATTACTTTGCTGAAATTTCGATTGCTATTTAAAATATTATTTTATTTGAATTTCATAGTATTTAATATTTCAAAGTTAGTTATTTTAAATTACCAATGTGTGCATTATGAAACAAATGAATGAAAGGAGTTGTTTTTATAGTTAGATGAATAACGGACTGTTTGATAACGTTCAAGTTAGACAAAAACTAGGGCATCGTCTCAGATGCCGAGATTATGTGCTTACATATAAATTTCTCGAATTCATGCAACTCAGTGGCCGTTTAACTGGTTTACATTCGTAATAGCTTTAACACATTCACGTTTCAGCATCGTTGATATTAATTAAATTATGTAACTGTATCACATTGAAAATGAACTCTTGGAATTGCGTTTATGCTGGAACTTAATACAGAATAATTACATTAATGAATGAAATTGGATACTGAAATATTGCAGTACGAATTGTTCATAAAACATTAAACAAATAAGATATTTACTATTTTAATAAATAGCATTGAAATAATACATCATATGTGGATGCTACTTCGCAATACGGTGTAGGCCTACAAAAATTCGAAAACTAATATTTTAATGTAATGCCTTTTTATTTAATTAACACAGAACAGCTTTTAAAATTATTACATTTGCGCCTGAGTAGAAGTATAATTTTGTTGAAAATAAATACTAAATTCAATAGAAGAAAGGTACATGTACTATATCTTTATATATCTTACACAAACCGAAATTTATTAAAACAGCAACACTAAAAACCATTTAATGAATCGGGTTTTCTAACTGAATGGAAACGTTAAATTGCTACTGCAGTGATTGAACGATTAAAAATCAATTTGATGTATTCAACGTGTAACGCGCAGTTGCATAACTGAATAACACCAATACCAATCTCGTATACCCCGACCAATTTTCCCAGCTTTATTTATTTCGATCATATTTAAAAAAACAGGAAATTTGTGTAATTGACGTTTGAACGTAAACAAATCGAGTTAACGATATACTAACAAAAATAAAAATTCACTTTATAGCAAATCATTTTAAAATTAATTAATTTTAACGTCGGACTATAATATCGTACAATTAAATACAGACAGTCATTCATTTATCAAATGAAGGAATGTATTTTCTTTTCTTCTTTTCTTTATTAACCCTCAGATGGCGGACCATGGGGAGAGCCATAATTTTAATGTAATTTTGTATTTCATATTATTTTCATTTTTTAAATTTTACAGTGTTCTTTTAGAAATTATTCTTCCAATGTATGAAACGTTTTTGTTTAAAAGAGGCTTGTATTTTTATATTTTGTAAGTTTCGATCACAGTTGATCCAGGCTTCGCTCTTCACGCCGCCGGCGGAAGCAAATGCTCGCCGGCGAGAGTCAGTGGAGGGCGGTGGCGGACTTTTTCGAATGCGTCATCGCTCTGTCGGAGCCGGTGTAGCGGGGCCGGTAGAGAGCCGACGGGATGAAGAGAATAGGTGAACATCGGCACCACCGGAGAAGATTTACGGGGAGGCATCCGTCTCCTCCAAAAGAGGAGGACCAACATCGATCGCAAGTCTGAAGCGGGGCCGCAGGGCCACAGGCGGCCGGGGCTAGGGCCCCGGTCTCCATTGCACGCGGCCCGAGGAGTGCCGGCATCGGGTGTGGCCTCCGACGTCGACGGAGAGTGGCACACTGGGGAGGGTCAGAGGCTAGACCCTCCCCCACGGCAGGGGCGCCAGTGCGCCAGGGCTGGGGGAGGGGGGTTCCGGTGTGTTCTTCCCGGAGGTCCCGAGGCTCTCCCTACAGCCCCAGAGCAGGCCACCGTGGAGGTTTTAGTGGGTTGAAATCCCACACTATCCCCGGCCCCTCCCCAGGAAGGCTTTTGAAGTCTTTTGAAGATTTCCTCCACGTAAAAAAAAAAGGCTTCGCTTTTCAAGCGGTAAGTTTGATATTCATATTATCAAGTTTGAATGGAAATTAAACTTTTCCAAACTTTAGGTGTTAACAATAACACTGGTTATTGCTGTTATTTACATAATTATTATACAAAAATTATTGCAATAAGCAAAAGAAAAATAATTCATTCGTCTAATACAATTCTGTTGAAATAAATCATTTCATTAC